CGGTGAGGTCCCCTGGGGCACTGTTGGCCTGGAGCACCACGCCAGGGGCTTCTGCGACGCGGACCCGCACGGGCGGCGGACCTCCGGACGACGTCTTCGTCGCGGGAGGGGGGGGGCACGCTTACGGTCAGCGCGTGTAACAAGGATGCACGATCAGGATGCAAGGGCCTTGAAGGGCCATGTCGGCACGTAGCGAGCGAGGCGCGGTCGGCGGAGGGGGCCAAGGATGAGCCGAAGGGGACACATGCGAGAGTAACCTTAGAAAGTCGGCCATGCTTACTATGCGCTTTGACTGAATCACCAAACGCGGAGCGTGTACCCGTCTGGCTGCGTGAGGGAGCGGCCCCTAACCAAAAAAAGCCATGTTGGGCATAGAGTCCGCAACTCCCTGTCGCCCTATTGCTGGTGTTGATTCTGAGCCACGTCTGCATCGCGGTGCGGGGGGGCGCTGGGACTGGGCCCATGCCACCCCTCGACCAACTGCCCCGACTCGTGGCCTCCAGCTGACCTGCCAAACCGACCCAGAGGCTTAGTGTGGGGCCAGATCTCACGAAACGACCATCTTCCTGCTCCCCTGATATCTGCGGCGCTCGGGGTCCCAGACGGCGTCTGGGAAGGGCGCAGGAGCTACCCACCCCAGCGGCGGCTCCACCACGAGCCTGCGCTCGAAGGCCTCCCAGGGGGGCACGCGCAGCCGCGCCACCTCGCCAGGCCCCAGGGCCGCGTCCTCCGCCTCCCCCGCCTGGAGGAGGAGGGAGGAGGAATGGAGGAGGAGGGAGGAGGGAGGAGGGAGGAGGGAGGGAGGAGAGGAGAGCAGGAGGAGGAGGACAGGAGCAGAGAGGAGGAGAGGGCGGAGGAGGAGAGAGAGGAGGAGGAGGAGGAGGGCGAGGGAGAGGAGGAGGAGGAGGAGAGGAGAGGAGGAGGAGGAGGACGAGTAGAGGAGGGGTGAGGGGAGGAGGGGGAGGGGGGAGGGGGGAGGAGGGAGGAGGGAGTAGGGAGGAGAAGGAGGAGGAGAAGGGAGGAGGGAGGAGGAGGGAGGAGAGGAGGAGGAGGAAGGAGGAAGGAGAGAAGAGGAGGAGAGAGGACGGAGAGGAGGAGAGGAGGGGAGGAGGAGGAGAGGGGAGGGAGGAGGAGGACGGAGGAGGAGGAGGAGGAGGGAGGAGGGGAGGAGGAGGAGGAGGAGGAGGAGGAGGAGGGGGAGGATAAGGATAAGGAGGACCAGGAGGAGGAGGAGGAGGAGGAGGATAAGGAGGACCAGGAGAATAAGGCCTCCTTCGGCGGGTGTGCCGCCAGCGACTCCCGCACGGCGCGAGACAGCTCCTCGTCGCTGTCCTCGCCACCCTCGGCGCCCTCGGCGGCGGCGCCCGCGGGCGGCACGCGCACGCGCAGGCCCAGCACCCGCAGCTCGCAGGGGGCGCCCTGGAACTCGAAGCGCACCACGTCGTTGACCATGAGGACCGGGTAGCTCTCGTCGACGGCCCGCTCGAGGGCCTCCTTGGTGAGGGGCAACGATAAGGGGGGATGGGCATAGAGGGGGACGCATCGACCTGGAACCGGCGATACATCGTCGATGGATCGGCGGTAAGCCCCCGATGGTGAATCCGCGCCTTCCTGGGCGGGGTGGTGCTATCGGGCCCCTATCGGCGATCAGTGGGCCACTGGGGGTCGATGCATCCCCCCTATGCCTATCCCTCCCCCTGCTCGCTGCCCCCGACTCGGGGGAAGACCAAGGAAACGACGCCGCTGCTCCCCGGACCGCTCCGGGGGTGCGTTCTGACCAGACTGTCGAGGCGACTCCTGCCGTGGCGACGAGGGAAGGGCAGCGGCATCGGTACCGTTCCCTCCCCTGCCTGCCCCTGAGAGTAGCAAGCAACGCTATAATTTCAACATACACTTTCGGAGGTCCGCGCAGGTTTCTTGGCTCAGCGCCGGGCCCCCACTCCCTGGCGCGCGGAGCGCGTCGGGGGCGCCGCCAGGGGGAAGGCAAAGCGCCGATCCGGAAGATCCGCGCGGAGCTCCGAAAGTTGTGATTTCTGACGTATTTGTTTGTTCTTCGAGATGCCGCTGCTCCCCAAATCTCTGCATGGGTGCCTTCTGCCCAGGATTTTGAGGCAAGTCCAGCCGTGGCGACGAGGGAAGGGCAGGGGTGCTGGCCTGTGTTCCCCCTCCCCCATCGGCTATATCAGCATGCGACTGGGGGTCGATGCATCCCCCCCGCTGCCCCCTATCCTTCGGTCGGGCATGTCCCTCTACAGGCGGGTTTGGGGCGAATGATTAAAAGCAATCCAACCCAAAAAAAACATGGTAAACAAAAAATCGCCCCCCTGACTAGTTTTCTACTATTCCTGAATATTCCCCCTGCAGAGGGACACGCCCGACTTAAAACCCTATCCCCTCCCAGCGTGGCCCCGAGCTCCTGCAGCTCCACAGCACCGCCGCCTTCCAGCTCCCGGGCGCCGTCGTAGCGCTCCGCGCTCTCCCACCGCAGGTGCAGCTGCGTCGCCACGGGCAGGGGCACCAGCGGGCTCCGGTGCCGCGCGGTGCAGTTGACGAGGTCGAGCTCCACGGGGTCGCCCTCGGCCACACCTCGGCGGGATCACTGACGCACCTCATTTTCGGGGGCGCGCAGACATGGACCAGCGATCCATGGGTTTGGCGCGCTGCCGCCAAACCCATGGATCGGGGGAGGTGCCCTCCCCAAAATGCGGCCGGTGCCGCCTCGTTCGGCGGCGGAAATTTCCCATGGAAGCGGGGCCCGTCGCTAATCCACGCCCCGGTAATCCATGTTTGCGATCGCCTGCTTCTTTCCTGGGCGGGCGGGGCTTGGGGGTCAGCGACTGGCGATCCTGGCGTGGCAAAGGGGCCTTTCGCTCCTCAAGGGGGGCCTGAGCCAGGCATGGCGAGCTTGTGGTCCTGTCGCTTCCCCCCCGCTCCGCGCGCAGCAGCCCCTTCGATCATGGGCTGGCGAGGGTGGGGAGAGGGCCGCTGACAAGAGGTCTTCCGAGGAGGCGGGGGGCCTCCCACAGGGAATGCGATGCGATGCGATGCGACCACCGTTGTTAGCCCGGCTCAGACCGGGTGGGCGAGGCCGTGGCCTCGAGTCTGACTCGTCTGGATACGTGCAATGCGAGGCACATACAAAGTTGAGAGAAGGAGGAGGAAGGAGGAGAAGGAGGAGGAGAAGAGGAGGAGGAGGAGGAAGAGGAGGAGGAGGAGGAGAGGAAGAGGAGGAAAAGGAGGAGGAGGAGGAGGACGAGGCGGAGGAGGTCCTCCCAAGGGAACGGCTCCCTCAAGCCCTACGCCTTCCGAAGCGCGGGGGCTCCGTGGAAGGCCGCCTATCCCTGGCCCTGAGCCCGCGGCGCGCGCCGCCGGACACCGGGTGCTGCCAGAGGTGCCCCTAACCTTACGTCGGGCACGTCCTCCTACAGGCGAATTTTGGACGACTAATGAAAAATACCCCAAAAAATATTCAAAATATGCCCCAAATTCTGACTAGACTGAATATTCAAAACATACCAAAAAATAGTCCCCAGACTATTTTCTGACTATTTTTGGATACTCCTCCTGTAGAGGGACGTGCACGACTGAACACTAACCCAGGATCGCCAAGGAGGCTTCCCCCACGGCCTCCAGAGCAGGGCGACGAGATCCATACGGGTCTACTGCTCCCTGGCCAGGCCCATCCTGGACCCAGCAGCGGTGCACACGCCTTGCCCAGGAAGAGGCCCGGCCAGGGGGCAGTGGATGTGTGTAGACTTCGTCGCCGGACAGAGCACCCCTCGCAAGGCCCGGGGAGGGCCAGTGGCTCCAGGATGAAGCGAAAGCATGAGGGCCAGGCACACGTTCCACAACTGGGCTGGACCTAAACGACGTGTTTCGTTTTGTTGTTCGTTTTGCTCTACCTCCTTTCCTGTACCTCCCTGCCAAAACGAAAAACAAAACGCAGCCGAAGTCCAGCAAAACAGCGTTTAGGTCCAGCCCTGTTTCAGAACCCCCGCTGGGGTGCCTTCTGACCAGCGTCCCGAGGCGAGTCCAGCCGTGGCGACGAGGGCCCCCCAGGAGGCGCAGAACGGCCCAAACGAAAGAAGGGTAGCAGTATCGGCACCGTTTTCTAAGACACCCGACACCATGTTTTTTTGTTCAGGACGTCGAGCCCCAACGGTCTCGACCCCTTCCCCGGGACCGGCTGTTCATCCTGAGTCGCCTTTTTGTCGACGGCCCCTAGGCCTGGCGAGGGCCCCCCCAGAGGCCGAAAACGGCAAAAAAAACTCCCGCCGTGGATTTGTGTCACGGCCCCAAGGAGGAGGAGGAGGAGGAGGAGGAGGAGGAGGAGGAGGAGGAGGAGCAGGAGCGGGGCTCCAGGTTGCGCGCGCGCCAGCAGGTTGCCCTCCCCAGAGGCACCGAGGGCGCGCCAGAGGCCCGCGGCCAGCAGGGCGCGCCCCGCGGGGGCGGCATAGCCGCGCACCCCGGCGAAGCAGTAGCTGCCGTGCGCGCTGCGGATGCGGTAGACGTGCTCGCCCTGCGGGTTGTCCTCCGCCGCCCACGGGGGAGGGAAGACGAGGCCAGGGCGAGGGCGAGATCGGGTGAGGAAGGAGCGAAGATCTTTAAGATCCAGCGGCTGTGGAGAATGTCTCGGGCGCCGCGGCCTTCTCAGAGCGTCCCGGAACGCGCTGAGAGCGTTCTGGAAGGCTCAGGAACGGAGTTATCCGTCCTGGCCCCGTCCGAGGAAAGGTAGGACGAGGCCAGGACAAACGCGCCCCAGGCGGCTGTGTGAAAATTAATCGGCCTCTAAACCAAGAACACATAAGCGACGAAAACAGAGGGGTCTTACGCGAGATGGCATGGCGACCTTACGCCGCGGCTTATGCGGGCCGCCAGCGCGGCACGCTACTTTGAAAACGAGAGCGTTTACGTTAGTAGATGTGCTCGCCCTGCGGGTTGTCCTCCGCTGCCACGAGAGTAAAAACTCAGATCCCAGCGTTGCACTTTTTTCTCAGCCGGAATGTTTGCCCCTTTTCGGGCCTGGGGACCCTCACAGACCGGTCCGGCTCGAAAAAATAAGGCAGAAAGTTGGAGTCCAAGGCTCCGGTGGGGATTTGTGTTGCGATGTTGCATTTTCTCGTCGGGCGGGTTGTCCTACTCTGCCAAGGGAAAGTAGAGTCAACAAATCCAAAGTAAGGGTGCAAAGCAAGAAGTATAGACCCCTGAGGCGACCATAGGCCCTACCCCAAGTCCTACCCGAAGCCCTATCATAGGCCCTGGGGTAGCCTAAGGTAGTGCCTGCCCTATGCCCAAGGGTAGTCTAGAGTAGGCCGTAGGCCCTAGGGGTAGGCCTGCGGGTAGGCGCTAGGCGTGGGCCTGCGGGTAGGCCCTAGGCGTAGGCCTAAGGTTGGCCTAAGGGTAGGGCCTCGGGATAAGCCTTGGGTAGGCTTAGGGGTAGGCCCTAGGGTAGGCGTAGGGTAGGCCTAGGAGTAGGCCCTAGGGGTCATACGGTAGGCCTAGGGATAGGCCGTAGGGGTAAGCCTAAGGGTAGCCCCTAGGGGTAAGCCCTTGGAGTAGGCCGAGAGTGAGCCTAGGGGTAGGCCTAGGGTTGGCCTAGAGCCAGGCCCCCAGGGGTACCTGGGGTAGGCCTAAGGGGTAGGCTCTAGGAGTAGGCCCTGCGGGCAGGCCAACGGGCTAGCCCTACAGGGGGGCCTAGGGTAGGCCCAGGGATAAGCACTAGGGGAAGGCTTAGGGTGGGCCTATGGGTAGGCCCTAGAGGGAGGCCGAAGGGGTAGGCCTAAGGTAGGCTGACCCTCCGGGCTCAGTCGGATCGAGCAAGCACGCAGAGCAGCGTGTTGGCGAGCACGACCACCACGCAGAGCAGAGCAGAGTCGTGTTGGGAACCACGTCGAGCAGAAGGGTCGGGTCGGGTGGCTGAGACGTTGAAGCGTACGTATTGTGCAGATTCGTCGCAGGGCGCGCGCGCGGGGTCGAACAGAAGGGCGACGACGAGGACGACGACCACGACCGCGATGACGACTCCACCCCAAGCGGGCACCCGGAGCTGAACGGCACCAGTCTACGGAGCCGACCCCGTTCGCGGCGACGAGGCAGGCCCGCCCAGGGGCCCCGACCCCCCCTGGGGCCTTTCGGGGCGCCAGCGCCAGCGGCGGCAGCGGTTTGAGCGAAGGCGGCGGCGGCCAGGCACCATGCATCCTCCCTCCGTCCCTCCCCCCATCCTCCCTCCTCCCTCCTCCGTGCATCGCGTGCGTAGTGCTCTGTTAGTCCCACCTCCGCCCGCCGACCTCCGCCCTCCGACCTCCGCCCTCCGACCTCCTCCTCCTCCTCCTCCGCCTCCACTCCTTTTCAGTGAGGATAACGCTTCCTTGTCGCACCCCGAGGCCTGTCAAAATGGCGGGCTGGGCATTTCGCCTGAGACCTCCTCACCATGACCCTCAAGCGGGTAATTTTACACGTGCGGCTCTCGCCTTGGCGCCGCGCACATTCGTTTTAAAATTTGCAAGAACTTCACGGACTGAGGGCGGGCGGTTTTCAAAATGCGACTCTCGCCTTAGCACCGCGCACATTTGTTTCCAAACACTGATTGAAGGCGGCTCGTTCTCGAAATGTGGCTCCCGCCTGAGCGCCGCGCACATCCGTCTGAAATAACTGACAGCAATTTCACAGATGGAAGGCGGGTCGTTTTCAAAAGGCGGTTCTCACCTTAGCGACGCGCACATCCGTTTTGGAAGTGTCCGAGAATTTCAAGGACTCCCAAGGTCAACGTACCAGAAAACTTGGTTTTGGAAGGATTCAGGACTGCGAGGCTGCAACAGTTACTGTGATCCGCGGTGTCGAAGTCCCAGGAAATGTGCGCCAGTCAGGATCGCCAAGACGTAGCAATAAGGTCCATGGCGTCGAATTCCTGAAAATTGTGTTTTGGCGCTTCAAGATGTTCACACGGTTGTCCCCCAATGGAACAACTTCCCCAGTTGAAATGCCCCCTGGTAGGGGCCTATGGAGAAAGATCTTGGAAGAGGGTTTATTTCAACGTCGTTGGTGAACCTGGGGTTTACACTCATCCTCCTCCTCATCCTCCTTTTCCTGCTCCTCCTCGTCCCCCTCCACCATTTTTTCTTACTGTATGATTAACTCCGTCCTGTCGCACCCCGAAGAAAGTCGGAAGGGCGGGCCGGGCGTTTCGCGAGATTTCCTTACCACGTATGAGCCTGAATCTTAGATACCGACATCACCCTCGCAAATGGAGGGCGGGTCGTTTCCAAAATGTGGCGCTCGCCTTACCGCCGCGCGCACCCGTTTGAAACATTGCCCAGAGCGACACGGATTGAGAGCAAGTGGCTTTCAAAATATGGTTCTCGCTTGAGCGCCGAAACGTGTTTCACACATTCAAGGCGGCTCGTCTATAAAATACAGCTCTCGCCATAACGCCGCGCACATTCGTTCCAGTATCGAAAAGTTGCTGGATTTTCAAGCAGGTGGATGGCGGTTCGTTTTCAAAATGTGGCTATCGCCTTAGCGCCGCGCATTGTTTCAAAATACTGCAAGAGCTTTACGGATCGAGGGCGGTTCGTTTTCAACATGCGGTTCTCGCCTTAACACCGCGCGCCTGCGTTTCGCACATTGCAGAAGCTTCACGGATTGAGGGCGCTTCCTTTTATCAACATGTGGCACTCGCCGTAGCACCGCGCACATTCGCTTAACAAAAAAACCAAAAGGTTCGCACGATCTCACGATTCGATTGCGCACTGTCACGGCGCAACAATCATGTCGATTCACGGCGCTGACGTCCCATAAAAGGCGATCTGGAACGATTCGGGATCGCTTGGACGCAACAGTCAGTTTCATTCAGGGCGTCGAAAATTGGGGTGTGACGCGTTGGTACGATTCCGGATCTTCACACGGTGGTATCCCCACAACCAATTCCCCTCAATGGAAGCACTTCCCTCTCAAAGCGTATGAAGCGGGAACTTGGGGGGAACGTGCATTCCAACATCGATGACTCTGAGGTTCACACAGGTCATTATCCTCTTCCTCCTCCTCCTCCTCCTCTTCCTGCTTGTGCTTCTCCTCCTCCTCCTCCTCCTCCTCCTCCTCCTCCTCCTCCTCCTCCTCCTCCCCCTCCTTTTCCTCCTCCTCTTCCTTCTCCTCCCCCTCCTCCTCCACCTCTTGCCCCTCATCCTCCTCATCCCCCTCATCCTCCTCATCCTCATCCTCATCCTCATCATCATCATCATCATCATCATCATCATCATCATCATCCTCATCATCCTCATCCTCATCCTCATCCTCATCCTCATCCTCATCCTCCTCCTCATCCTCATCCTCAATCATCATCATCATCATCATCATCATCATCATCATCATCATCATCATCAATATCATCATTATCCTCCCTCCGCCCCCTCCCTCCTCCCTCCTCCCTCCTCCTTCTTTCCGCCACGTTCCTCCCTGCTCCTTCCTCCCTCCCCTTTCGGGGCAATCGATGTGAGGAAAGATGTGAAACATCGGGCTGTCTGAACATCAGAATGTATGTGAGCAGCGAATCTAAAAACGGGCAGGGGCACAGATCCCACTCGAAACGGCGGCGGAGGAAGGACAGCAGGGGCACAGGCAGGCACGGGGTGAGACACGCACGACAGGAAAACGCACCGTTAGTCTGGTGCCCAATCAAACAAACCCGTCGTGACCTCGTGTGTGTGTGTGTCACCCTGCTGCTTATCAGTAGAGCATCCTACTGACCGCATTCTTGAACATGCCTGCGATGACCGCATTGCTGACAACGCTCGACAGACTACTGGTGGAGCAGCTGCTACATGCCTGCTGCCGCTCCCTTGGCACAGCCCAATTGGTGATCTCGTCGCTGTTGGGTAGTTCGGGCTGTGTCCTGGTGCACGGAGTAACGGTGGTCGACCTTATGACGCAGTCACACGAGTCGCCTCTTCGCCTCTGGGTGAGGCACGGGCGCTGGGAACTCGGGGCGGCTCTCGTCGCTGAACTTGACCGTGGCACGGTCATAATTTATCTGGCCGTCCATCACATTGACGATAAATTCCCAGCCCAAGCTGCCCTTGGTCACGGGGTCGGCGCGCAGAGATATCTTTATGTCGCGCCAGCGTAGGTCCTCGATTTGCTCGGCGCGCAGCTGGTCAGCTTATCACCGCCAATGGCCTGCCATGTTTTTCCTCGGAAGGCGGCCACACCGGGTCCATAAGCAAAGCGCTGAAACGGACATGCCGTCGATAACGGAATCTGCAAGGATCACGCATCCCCCTTCCTCCCTCAACCTCCTGAACTCGTCGGCAGGGGGGGGCCGTGCACCGTCTCGCGCAGCGCGAGGACGTGAGCCCGCAGTCCGTCGGCTGCCCCACATGCTGCGAACAGCTCGGGGCCGAATGAAGATCTGCGCAGCAGCTTGCGCGATCGGTTCTCTGCGCCCAACGAGTGGCACGCCTGTTTGCCCGTGCCGCAGCACTTGCCGAGACGCATGTATACGACCCCTCTCATGCCACATCCTGCCTCCTCTTCCCTCTTCAACGACCTGTCGCTGTGTGCGCTGAGTCGCCTGGCACACTCCATGACTGAAAATGTGACGCGTGCTCTTGTCTTCTGCATGGCCAGAGCAACCTGAATTGAGCTGCGTCACGCGTCGGATGGATAGCTTGTGCGTGGCTCGTTGCAGGGCGACGATGCACGCGGCAAGGCGGTGCTGGGCGAGCAGGGCGTAGGCTGCTGCTCCCGGGCAGGAGACAAAAAAAGTCTGGACGCTGATCTCCGTCCGGCTCGTCAGCCTCTGCCTTAATCAGGTCAACGCGTCTGATCGGTATCAAGACAGCGATGCACTCGTCCAGGTCGTGCGCCACGGTGCCATCGGCACTGAAATGCTGGTGTACTCCGCAATTTGCAAAACCATCCGAATCACATTTCATACTCCGAAAGCGCAGTCGACATGGCTGACTAGCCGGTCGACGTGATCTTTTTGTCCAAAGACCGTCCGATCGTGGCATGCTTGGACAATGCCCTGGCTCTCCACTCTCCGCGCGGTGAGGTCGGAGATTTAAAGCCGTAATTGTATCGCTGTTTGTCTGTGTTTGTCTGTGTTCGCCTGGTTTGTTCGTGTTTGCGTGTGTGTGTGTGTCTGTTTTCCACGTGCTTGTCTGTGTGCCTGTGATGTTGTCGGTGTTGTTGTGTTGTCGTCGGCGCTGCTGTTGTTGTCATTGTTCTCGTTGTAGCTATTGTGGTTGTCTGTGCTTGTCATTGTTCATGTCGTCATTGCTGTTGCCCTTGCAGCGGTTGAAGGTACGCGTGGTTGTTCATATTATCATTGCAACTGTCATCGCGGTGGTTGTCGCAATAATTGTTGCCCTCGTTTACGTGGTTATCACGGTGGCTGTCGCGGGGTTAAAAAAATTAGTCGCTGGCCTCAGGAGGGAGAAAACCAGGCCCCACATCAAGCTGCATCACCGATACATCGGCGATGCGGCGTGATCCTATGACTGCAACTAATATGACTCCCCCAACGAGTAGGGAATCGACTACCGAATTGATGTACCACAAAAACGGTTCTATCGAGTCTAAACAAGACATGAGTCATGCTCCGTGGATATGCGGAGCATTCTACGTATCTTGGGTGAGATCGACGGGGAAATCAGCTTTGGGCAAATCCATTATGTAATCGATCGTCTATTGCACGAGCGCGCTCCGCCACTCGCAAAGTAACTACTCGCGAATGGCCTGGATCCGCCGCGGGAGATCTAAGATAAATCTCATCGAAGCGAACATACGTCTTCGTACGTTTGCGAAGAGGCATTCTGCAAGTAGTGGAACGCGCTTGGTGATCTATAGCCCTCTCATTTGGGAGGCCTAGACGATGTCCTCCACGAGCTTGGGCATGACCGAGGCCGGCAGCTGCACCAGCGTGCCCTCGAAGGCACCCGCGCGCGCGGCCCGCAGCCGCAGCGAGAGACGCGGCCGTGCCGAGGCGGCGCCGCGGCCTCCTCGAGAGAGGCGGTAGGCCTCCTCCAGCCTCGCGGGGGAGGGAGAGAGAGAGAGAGAGAGAGAAAAAAAAAAAAAAAAAAAAAAAAACTCATGTTCGCGTCGTCGGATCTCTGGGGAGAGACAGAGGGAGAGAGCGAGAAGGAGAGAATGAGAGATCTCCGACGACACGTGTTTTTCATTCTGGGCGCTTTCTTCGATTTGGGCCTCTTGAACCGTCTTCGAGCCCTGGGACCATCAAACATTGATCTGGGACGAGAACCACCCCCGAGGAAGCGGCCAGCACCTCTGGGGCCACGGATGATTCGAAACTTATATGTTTAAAAGAGACAGAGAGAGAGAGAGAGGGAGAGAGAGGGAGAGAGAGAGATAGAGATCCTGCTGCTAATGCTTCGGGCTGCGCACAGACAGCCCGCCAAGGTAATTCCGGCTCGCCTTAACAGACCCCCTGAGTAGACCAGGTCGGTCTCAAAATCCTGGTGCCGCCTCCAGCGGCGCCTCTGATGCGCTCCGCGCCGCAGGGTTGAGGTGTTGAGACCGCCCGAAACTTCCCTGGGGGGCCTGCTGACGCCAGTCATGACTACCTGGGGGGGCCGCCTGTGTGCAACCCGAAGCCTTATCAGACCCTGAGATCTGGGCGCCTTATCAGATCAAGCGCGTTCGCCTGGCTTCGGGCCCCCCAGGGCCCTCACAAATCGATCCGGCTCGAGTAGCGCCGCTCTAAGATGGGGTCTAACTTGGGGCTCCGTGTGCTTCACGATGTTGTTACATTTCTCAGGGCGTCGGATCTCAGGGCAGATGGGAGATAGGCGCTGGCTTCTGACCCGCCGTGGACCGGTCAACCTTGAGCGATCGAGGCTTTCCGATAGCGCAGATCGCTCGGCATCGGCCGGCCCCAAGCCGCTGACGACTTGCAAGGTGGAACGCCGCACCGCGCCCAGCGATGCAAGATGCTCGGTCATCTTCGCGCCCTCGCGCCGCCCCCTTGGCGAAGGGCAGCTCCGCCAAGGCCGCGAGGCGCGCAGGGCGATCACCTGCGCGCCCCTGGGGGCGACCGAAACCTCCGCACCCCCGACGGCACGAGGTCGTCGGGCCTCTGCTCTCGGCTCAGGCCCCCGGGCAGAGGCGCCGCCTGCGCAGCTCCCATCGGTGCGGGCGGAGGCCCCCCCTTGCGGATGGCACGTCGGCCTGGGAGCCGTGACGGCTCACGGAGCAAAGGGCGAGAGCCAACCAGGGCCTGCTCCCGACGGTACGGTCGGCGTGAGGCGCTGGTGGGGAAGCGAGGACCAGGGTGGAGGGGGAGGTTCGGGTGTTGCAGGAAGTGCCCCTGGCCCAAGGAGCCCCTGCATATTCGCACCGATTCAGAGCCCTTGAAGCCCTCCAGACATCGCGAGGAGTGCTCTGCAGGCCTTGTGGGCCTCCCAAGGGATCCTGGGGACACCTTTGGCCAGGGGCACCTTTAGCAACACCCGAGGGGTGGACCTGGAAGCGGAGGTTGAGGGCCATAGACAGTCCCACCACCAAAGACCACCCGAGGGATGGGGCCGTCCTGGGGCCTTCTACAGGCAGTCGTGGAGCCGCACGGAGGCCATCCAAGACGCTCCCAGCTCGATCTGGAAGACAAAGCATGAGAGCTGGGTGTCGCGAGCATCTGTGAGGACCTCTTGGGTCGTCCCTTGGGCCATCTTGTGCTCCCTCGGGGCCGTCCCGGAATCATAGCGGAGCGTCTTGGAGTTCATCCTGGACCATCTTGGATGACCTGCGGGCGTCCACTTAAGCCACCTTGGAAGCCTCTCGACGGAAATGGCACCCCAAAGAATAGAAACACTTGCCAGGACGCTAGTGTGAGAATCCCACCAGACCTATGGGCGGAGGTGGTCTAGCGTGGTTCCTCTTCTATTGTCCCTCTTCCCCCTCGGGGAAGGTTTATCACTATTCATTTTTGTAATACGCCCCCTCACCCACACGACCGGCGACGAACCTGGGACAATGAGAGCGCCCCCTCAATCCTTGTTATTAAATTATCCGGGGACGTACCCAGCCCTTTGTGCACATGAACCCAGCGCGACCCCAATTAGGGGGAAGCCTACCGCGTGAAGACGACCAAAACGTCCAGAACCCTTCAACTTCGAGACAAGAACATTTGCACCCACGGCTGCCACGACCCGCGGCCGCGCCCCAGCAACGTCATACGAGACGGACGAAATCGCGCGCGCTGTGCGCAGCTTCCGCGCCCCGGGCTCATTGGGGCCCGAGACGGGGCCCAACTTCGCCGCTGTGGCTCGACCTGACTGTCGCCAACGGTCAAAAAAATCAGGCGGGGGCGGGGGGGCATCTCCTCCGTCGCCGCACCCGCCGGGCGGGCCATCCTGCGGTCGCAATTGATCCCATCGCGCTCGTCTTTAAGGTCGCCCCCGCCACCTCCACCATCGCCCCAGCTGAACCGGACACGACGGGGAGTCGGCCAAAGTCTTCCCCGCCTTCAGGGGGGCTGCATTGTCAGCGGGCCAGGCGAATGCACCCGAAACTGCGACGGAAGCGCCTCCGCGGAAAAATGGCGCACAACGCCGAGCATCCTAACGTTGAATGGACGCGCATCCTTTGACATCCTGCTTCTCAGGGGGTAAGCGCGCTGATTTGGCGCGTGATCAAGTGCATGTTTCACACTCGTGAGCTCCTCCTTTTCCTTCAGGATTCGATCAGAGTTGTCCTTTTGTGCCCTCCAGAACGCAGGGTTCTGCACGTCCGCACCTAACTAAATGGCAAGCCATATTCTGCCTTCCCTCTTCCTCCCTCCCAGCGCGCCTTCTCGGCCTCCGCCTCCGATTCTGCCTTTTCCGACAGCAGAACGAACGCCGCTGGGCGCCGGTGTCTACCTGGCCACTGCAAAACGGTAGGCCGCACTGAACGCTGCCCCCCCGCTGCGGCTGACCCAACGGCGCAATTCCCCCCCCCCCCGGGCACAAGCGATGTCGGCGGGCGATCCAGACGGACCAAGGAAGCCCCATCCCCGCTGCCAAACCACTGACATGGGACAGGGGTCGGTTCCCCTGGCGACCGGGCCCAGACGCTCTCGGGGCGACGCTGACGGCTTAGCCCCAGCGTTAGTGCAACGGAGTGCTCGACGCCCTTGGGCGGCAGGATAAAGTTTCCCGACGCCGCTGGCTTAGCCTGCGACGCGGTCGGCCCTCCGCGCAGCCCCGCGCGCCCCTGGAAGAGCTCACTCTGGAAAAACAGTACACCTTGTTTTCGCGTTTTCTTGTCTAATCATAGATTCCCCGATGTCCCTCGATTCCTCGGCGGCGGCCTGCCCCCTGCTGCAATGCCGCATGGGCTCGGCCCGTTTCCTGGTGCACTTTAACAGCTTGAGCCGCCCGTCCGTGAAGGTCTTCCGGCGCCTTCTGCTCGGCGGTCGATGCAGCCCCTGTGGCCCGCAGCAATGTTTGCTGCATCTGCCTTTCTTGTTCCGCCATCTGTCCCGCCGCATTATTTCCCCCACGATTGCCAATCTAACTGTTTCTTGAGTTGCTTTTCTGTCGCGCTCTGTTTCCTGCTGAGGCTGCTCAGCTGCATCTGAGGTCGCCTGCTGATCAACATTAAAAATCGTTGTCCCTTTGCATCTGGCGTTGCTCTTCGTTCTCACGTCGCCCAAACGTTTGCAATTGCAAATTCATCTGGGCGACCACCAGTTCATTGAAGGATCTTTCTCTCGCGGCAGCCTTGTCCGGCTCTCTCCCCTGCCATGCAAGAGCGGTTGTGCATTGACAACTGTGCTCTTGTATGTCGAAGCAGTCCAGGCAGAGCAAACTGACACCAGTCCTTACACGCGCCAAAACACGCTCCACATACAAATATACGGCAAAGGCCTTCCCCTTGTCCCGCTTTCCTGGCGCAGCGATGCTCCGCCGCCATTGGGAAATTGGGTCCCGGGGCCCAGCAGCTCACCAGGATCGAAAGTCTACTTGTAGATGATGGTCCAGGAGAGCAGCTAGACCCACGGTTGCTCCTCGACCTTGTGCGGCCTGTCATAGGCGACTCGAGCTTCGCGCGTTTCACCGGAATGGGGGATGTCGGCCGGGATACCTCAAGGTTCGCACCAATCCCCCCCCGACAAATCCACTAGATTATCCACCCCTTGATTTGATGAATGGACTCCATCCAGTCAGACAGTTTGCCATCCACTCCTTCACTTCTGCTAATAATGGCAGAATGAGACCTCCTTGCAAGACCCCTGATTATGCTGGAAGAAATGTGCATTAGTGACTCATCAAAATCCATGGTTATATCGGATCCTGTGGGATCTCTTGAACGCTCCAGCAGATCAATCTCACGAGGGCTCAACATGACTACCTACAAGACCACCCCAACCGAACCCGAAGACCCGAATTTCGCCAGAATTTCGGGGTGGGGGGGTGTGAGTTTCATGTGTTTTTCCATGTTCTCCGACCCCCCCACACACTGAAAATGGAGAGCAAATCGGGGCATTCGGGTTGGGTTGGGGTGGTTTGGTAGGCGGTGACTAGATGTCAACCGAAGACTGAAAAAGTTCAATCTGCTCTTCTATCTGAATCCATTAGCTACGACATACCTGGGGAATGGTTGAACCACCCACCCATACAATGTCCGGCTCGTCGCCCACATTATGTCGAGAACCGTTGGATCTTCTGATTAGGCCGGCAGTTCCCACAGCTACGTCGCGCGACTCTCCCGTTAACGATGAACTCAACGAGCCTATCTCCGACTCGATCAACGCGGAAAATTCCCAATCAACATCAATATCTCGGGTGTTTGTCTCTCCACTACCAGTTCCACTGATGGGGCTACGACTGACTGAATCAGCTTTACCCGATACAATGGAACCCTGAGGGCCTTCATTGGGAAAATGAAGCAAAGGCACGTCAAGTGGCAACATAGTATGAATAGCCCGGCGTGGCTGATGTGCCAAGTCGTTAGCATGAACTGATCCAGAGCTGTCGGCTCATAGAAAATTAATTACTAGAGGGCTAGAATGTTGTAACATGATGACGGTCGGCTATCTTGTTCTACGATCATCAACGGATTCATCCCGCTAATAAGCTAGATCGTCGAGATCAGCATGAATCCGTTAAGCATAAGCGCATTACAAGGGCATGTGTAGGGAAGGGAACTGACTGGCCGAAGGCGCGGCCCTTTTCCACCTAACTGCAGCAATGGACTGCTGCGGTACATGCGATGCCCAGCGGCGGTGTCCAGCGTCGGCGACGGCAGATTAACCTTAACACAAGTTGCACCAGTGATGGGGGATCATTCAAAAATCAGGAGTTCAACAAAAAACAGCAAGTTTGAGAATGTTAGTTTGTATACGCTCGCTGTCTTCCCAAACCTTCGATACCCGCCCTCTTCGACTTCGATCGTCGCCACACTGGGGGTATATCTTCCCTACCTGCCACGTGTAGTCGGCACAGCCCCTAACACAGAGGAAGCGAGTGAGGAGAAAGATAGGGGGCCACATGCGAACCCTACCCCTACCCCCCCACGACTTCTGAGGGGGAGGGTGGGGTTCACTTTACTCGAGAGCTCCCGAACGAAGGGAACCCCACCCTCCCTCTCAGAAATCGTGGGGGGTAGGGGTAGGGTGCGCATGCGGCCCGCTGGAAGAGGCATGGTGGAGGGAGAAGGACGGAGCATGAGAACGAGACTTGCAGGAAGGACTCAGGATCAGAAATGCAGGCCACAGAACCACACGGGCGAGCCGGGCGGGCGAACGGGGCAGGCGGGCGGGCTTCGGTCGAGCGGGCGGGTCGCTGAAGCGTCAATCCGAGATGAAGCGTGAGGATGTTGAGAGCGACAGCGCATTCCCAAATAAATTGCGAGCGAGTCCCAAGAAAGAGCGTAATTCCTGCGTGTCGAAGGCGCGGCGTTTCAATAAATTGCAAGGAAGCACCACGCGAGAGGGCGATTCCTGGATGAATGGTACGGAAAACCGCGCGAGAGCGTGCTTTTGAAATGAGAACTCAACAATAGCGAAAAACTCAAACCTCGGAGCCCTCCCGCCAGGCAGCAGCCGGCGAACGGCGGGGGGGGGCCTCGACATGATGGCGTGGAACACGGCGCCCTGGAGCGCGCCAAGGCACAAGGACTTGGCGTGCTGGAGGCTGAACTGGCGGTGCGGCAGAGGGGGAGGCGGAGGCGGAGGGGGGGGGTAGGAGGAGGAGGAGGAGGAGGCGGAGGAGGAGGAGGAGGCGGAGGAAGGAGGTAGGAGGAGGAGGAGGAGGAGGAGGAGGAGGAGGAGGAAGTGGAGGAGGTAGGAGGAGGAAGACCGCTGCAAGGACTGCTCCGAAACAGAAGAAGGCCCCGGGGCTCACAGACGAGAAGGGCCGAGCTGGGAACGCGGTCGTCCCGCCCTCAGAGGCCGCCTCTCGCGAACACTCACGAATGCAATCCACTAGGCCGTGGCAGCTAGGAGGCGAGGAGGAGGAGGAGGAGGAAGAGGAGGAAGAGGAAGAGGAGGAGGAAGAGGAAGGGGAAGAGGAGGAAGAAGAGGGCAAGCCCAGGATGCATCGTCGATGCTGCAGCGCACCGTGCAACCCCAGGTCCCCTCCTCGCGAGTGCCTGCGAGCAGCCCCACTCACTGGAGAAAGACGAGCGCCTCGTGGGTCTGCCATGCAGGCGCGAGCTCCGCTGCGACATGGAGCTGCCCTGCATCTTTTCACGGAGGAGGAGGAGGAGGAGGAGGAGGAGGAGGAGGAGCAGGAGCAGGAGGAGGAGGAGAGTCGGTGGAATCGAAATGAGTTCGGGCAGAACGGTGGGCGAAGGACGACATCAATTCCTGTCCATTGTCGAGGCCAGCGGGGACTACCCCGGCCATCTGTGCGCAGCCCGAAGCCTCACAGTTACCCGCTGCGGCTTTGCAGCTTATGAAAACAGCACCACAAGCTAGTTCAAGGGACTTTCCATGGAACTCGCGTCATCCCGATCCCCGGCGCGCGAGGAAGTGAAGCTGACAACTACGCGTGCTGCACAGATTCCAGTGCATCTGACGGAACCCTGCGCAGAACCTTGAACAGGCCCCCTCGCTGGGGGTATCCTCGCAAGATCGGCCCAGGGAAGGGTCAAGAGCGCTTCCTGCATCGTTTCCAGCGAATCTGACGAAATCCAGCGCGGCGCCCTCCCTCGGGGCATCCTCTCAAAATCGGCCTCAGGGGAGGGGCCAAGGGTGCATCCTGTACCGTTTCTGGCGAATCTGACGGAATCCAGCGAAAAAAAATCCCACGCAGGCGCCCTCGGTCGGGACATCCTCGGAAAATCGGCCCCAAGGGGGAGGGACTCAGGGTGCATCCTGCACCGTTTCCAGCGAAGCTGACCGAATCCAACGCAGAATCCCGACCAGGCGCCCTCCCTCAGGACTTCCCTCGAAATCCCCACCGTCATCGTCGTCGTGGGCGGCACGGAGAAAGCGCAGGACTTACCTCTGTGAACAGAAACTCCCGATCGATCGTGGCGTCGCTGCAGGCATACCGCTCCCTCCCCATCTGCAGTACCCTCTTCACTAGTTCGCTGGAGAGGGAAGCAGTAAAGAAGCGCTCAGGATCAGCATGCTTATCCTCGGCACTACTACGCACTCGTGTCTTGAGGATGCATTCGGGACGCTCCACCGCCTTCTCCTCCTCCGTCTCCGCCCTCTGCCCTCCGCCTCCTGCTGCCCCTCCTCAACATCTCCATGTGCTTTGTTCGCGCCTTCTGCAGAACTTGACATGTTCGGACACAGCTGCCGCGTGGCCACTCCATCACCCTGGCGCTGCTGCTTGCAACCAAGCTGGCCATGTGGAATTCGCACACGATGCTCCGCTGGTTGGCAATCGCGTACGCCTGGGAAGGGACCGCCCCTGTCGCCGAAGAGGATATGCCGTCGCACTGAGAGAATGAATCTCAGAACTCCCCCGTGGGGCCAAGACCTTGAGCTGGCAACCACGCCAAACTCGCGAATACAATCATCTGGGAACACAGTGATGTTGCGGCCTCTGAAGTGCCCAAAGGCCACGAAGTGCCGAAAGGGACGGCAGCAGCGTGAGGTTTGCAATGAGTCATGATAAGCAGAAGCAGAAGGAACAGAAGCTGCAGTCAGAGGAGGCGAAGGCGGAAGGGAGAGAAGGAAGAAACCGACACAAGCAAAGAAAGGAGAGGGCCAAATGATGATTCGCAAGAGTCGGGGCAGAAGAGTGAATCCGGGGGGCAACAATTTGCAGCGTTCTCCAGCAGGGGGCCTGGCGAGCCCGGGACCGACTGTTCCCAGAAACCAACGCGGAAGGGCAGCCTTAGCGCTGCTGCTCGGGTGCCTGACTGCACAGGTCACTGAACTGGGCATTTGAACAGATGCTCCAAACATGATGCCCCACATCTGGACAGGCATTCTCATGGCCTCGCTCGGCGTATCTGAGACCTACACCAGACACCTGCCCCTGGTACACTGATCCATCCCCCCGCCTCATCCTCCTCCTCCGCCTCCTCCTCCTCCTCCTCTCCTCTGGAAACCGCCATGAGACTGTGGAACATCCGCAGACCGCTGATATGGGCTCTCGCGCCCGCCCAAGCCTCCTCCTCCGCCTCCTCCTCCTCCTCCTCCTCCCCCTTTTGTTTCCTCCTCCTCATCATCCTCCTCTGTGTCCTCCTCCTCTTGTTCCTCCTCCTCCTCCTCCTCCTCCTCCTCCCCCTCCTCCTCCTCCCTCCTCCTCTCTGCCTCCCTGCCTCCTCCTGCCTGCCCCCATCCCCCTCTTCCTCGGATGACGACGGCGACGAAATTGAAAACGACGATGACGACGGCGACGACGACGACGGCACACATGATTGGCCTTACCCTTCCCACAGAGGACCACCCGTCCCCGCCCGCCTCCTGCGCTAGGAAAAAAACGTGGAAAAGGAGGAGACAAATAATCTGCTGATCGCAGAAGGACCAAGGCACGCAGAAGCACTAGGAGGAGGAGGAGGAGCAGGAGGAGGAGGAGGAGGAGGAGGAGGAGGAGGGGGAAGAGGAGGAGGAGGAGAAAGAGGAGGGGGAGGAGGAGGAGGAGGAGGAGGAGGAGGAGGAGGAGGAGGAGGAGGAGGGGGAGGAGGAGGACACGGATCTATTGGGTCGGCGCTGCCCCCCCCCCCTGGCGGCGCCTGCGGCTCCACCCCTTGCGCGCTTCCAGGAAGGCGCCAAGACGAGCCGAGGAGGACTCGCAGAACGCGTGCCGAGGACGCATAGAGGATGCAAGGGCGCACTGCCTCAAGAGCTCATCACTGACGCCAGCTCGAACTGCACCTGCTTGCCACGAGCGGCCTGCCATTGTCCACCTTCGTTGAATAATCTGAAATACTGCTCGGGGGTTGCTAAACGTGGCGCTTGCCCAGGGTGTCCGCAGCTTTTGGGCCCATGTTCGGAGCCCATGGGGCCCGCAGGGCCTCGTGAGGGGTGCTCTGGAGGCCGTGGGTGCATCCTTGAAAATCCTTGGGGCACCTTGGGCCGGGGACACCCTCTGGCAACATACGAACTGTGCAGCCGATGAGGCCAGAAGGCGCCGAGTCATCCCATAGCATGCCCCAGGCGCCTCCGCAAGGCCCAACAGCTGGGTGATCTGCCGCTCCTACCGGCGCGCGCGGAAAAACGGGGGCGGGTCGCTCGGACGGCAGTGTCTTCGTCCGCACATGTGCTTGCTCCGCGGGGGGTCTGGTCTGAGGCGATCGGGCCCCTCACAGCTCCGCAGAGCGGCCTGCGTGGGTCCAAGTGGGGCGAATGGGTCCGTGGAGAGACCACATGCGAACAAACAAACAAACAAACAAACAAACAAACAAACAAACAGGCACGGAGTCAGAAGATCGCCGATGCATCGGCGACGTCGGGATGAAAGGAAGTCGGACTCCCGATCGCGCCGCATGCGGAAAATCTGCCGGCCCCGTTCGCTCTGGTTCAAATTGGGGCGGCCTGCAATTCTCCTCCCCTCGAAGGTAAACAACATGAAAGTTCGCATTTCTCGTGCTCCTACACCAAGTCGTACTCCTGATCCTCCCTCCTCGTTTTGACAAGAACTTATGTTTGACCGAATTGAGGAGGGCCCCCTGATCCATCCTGGAGTGCGTCCCAGCCAGAATCTCGAGGGAATTCCAGCCGCGGTCACAAGGGCGCCCCCCGAGGGACCCCGAACGCGCGCAAGCAAGAACCACGAACTTCACACCCACTCCGCGCTTCGTACCGTAGGAGAAAGCCAACTGTACACCAACACCAATACTGGCCGGTCAAAGATCCTGGGCCCAGGATCGGTGACTAAGCCCTCCTGGCGTGGGCAGCAGGGCGCATGCAACGATCCTGGGTCAGGGATGGCTGCTGGTGTATAGTTGGCGTCTTCCGATCCCGCAGCAACGTGACCCTCCGAGAGCAGCGACAGCATAGAGGCCTCCTGGATTGGATCGGCTCTCCGCGAAACTGCAGGTGCCAAAGGTTCGCAGTCCCCTTGCTCTTCTTGCTTCTGCCGGTTTGACACGTCTTCTCGTTTCTCGTCGCCCTCCGAATGTCTTCGGGAGTGCATGGGTCGGAGGATCGCGCCGCATCGCCGATGCATCGGCGATACGTCGGCGATGCATCGGCGATGCATCGGCGACATCGGCGATGCATCGGCGACGCCAGCGTGACCGCAGCGTAGAGAAAATCGGGCTCCACATCGAGCCGCCTCGCCGATGCATCGGCGATGCGGCGCGAGCCTCCGACCCCATCTACTCCTGACTCCGACCCCGTCCAGGAGGCCTGGACAGGAGGACGCGACATCGAGCCGAGCCCACACCGCGGACGAGAGCCCCCTGCAGGCGCGCGTCCCCTCGCCGCCGCGACCCTGCGCCTCTGCACGCCCCCTCCGAGGCCGAGCGCGCAGGTCCAGAGGGGGACCCGCCGTCGGGGCACCCGACCAAGGGCACGACGGACTCCATCCAGAAAACAAGGCTCAGATCGGGCATGTCCCCCTAAAGGCAAATTTTACAGGAAAGATTAAGAATAATCCAAATAGAATCAAGAATGGTCAAAAAATGATCGAAAAATCGTCATCCGACAATTTTTGGGCTATGTTTGAATACTCCTTCTGCAGAGGGACGTGACCGACGTAAAACAAGGCCGGGCACACTTTTTTTGTCGCGGACTTGGCGAGCGCACACGTCGGCAAGACTCGCTCGATCGGGATGCCAAAAGAGCACGTCCGCACCGGGGGGCGAATGAATGAGGGCGACCGCGGAGTGACGAGACGGCGGGGACAGCACTCAAGACAAGATGGCAAGATCGGGCACACACACACACACACACTAACATGGAATCACGGATCCGTGGACCAGGCAAATGGGCTCCAAATCTACGGATCGGGGCAAACCGGATCTGGCACGTGGCTTCCAGATCTTCGGATCGGGGCGAAGCGTGAGGCCAGCGCCGTCGGATTTGGCGACGGATCCTACCCATGCTGCAGGGAAGCGGAACCCGTCACTGATCTGGCTGGGCGAACATGTAAGTCGCAGCGGTGGCGAATGCGAACCACGTCCGCAGCCTGAACGGGGACGCTGCTGGGCGAACTGGGAGGGGGAAACGGGGGAGGAGAGAGAGGAGAGGAAGAGCAGGCACGGGGAGGAGGAGGAGGAGGAGGAGGAGGAGGAGGAGGAGGAGGAGGAGAAGCGAGCAGGCCGGAGGCAGAGGAGGGCGACCGCGGAGGAGGAGGAGGAGGAGGAGAGCGGCGCGCACGCAGCGCGCGAAGCACGAGCTGTGCGGCGGCCTCAGGCGTCGGGGCCAGGCGAACTTCTAGGGGGAGGAAAGAAGGCAGCAGGCGGGATCCGACGAAGGAAACCCACGCCAAGAGGAACACCCTGCCTGCCTCCAGGGTGCCCTGGCTTTCCCGGGCTCCGACGGCTCTGCCGTGTGGAGAGCGTGACGCTCCCGCACCACAAGTCAGTGGACCTCCTGGGGTCTCAGGGTTGGGTTTCTGGTTGAGTATCGTTTAACGGATCCCTATCCGCAGCGGCGTGGCCTGGGCCCCACTGGCCGATTTACCCCCCTCGATGGGGATATAGGTCGTTCCCTTGGGGTTTCGAGGGGTGTACCCCAACTGGGGGGGTAATTTGGTGGGGGTCTCGAAGGGGATGGGGATGGGGATGGGGGTCGGATAAGCGATACTGACTGGTGAAAAGTTTCTTGTGGTCGAGCTTCCACTGGAACACTCCGCCCGGCCTCACGAGCTCGCGCCTGTGCCCGCCCGCGTCGGCCCTGGCCGTTCCGCCGAGCCTCTCCGGCCACGGCGAGCCGCGGGCTTCGAGCGGGATCCCGGGTCATAGATCTGACGGCCCGAAAATCCGGGTGGCCCGAAAGGGGGGTCCAGCTGAAAGGGGGTGGTGCAATAGAATTGGGGCAATCGTATTGCAAATGTATTGCGCTGGAGAATTGGATTATATTGTATAGCAAGTGATGTACTACTGCACGCGAAGATACAGCAAGACCTGTGCGCCCCAGAATGTGTTACACGCCCCACACGTATTGCCACCCCACAAATCGATTGCACCAAATCTGTTGCACCGCCCCCTTGTCGCTGGACCCACTTTTGGGGTCAACCCGAGAAACCAGCGCCCCTCCTGAGCCCGAAGTGGTCCTTACACTAGCAGCTCGACCACAAGAGACCTTCCACAAGAAACCCAACCCCAAAACCCCAGGATGTCCACTGATGTTTGGTGTGGGAACGTCGCGCTTTCCACGGCAAAACCATGGAAACCCAAGAAACCCAGGGCACCCTGGAGGCAAGCAGGGTATTTCTTGGCATGGGTTTCCACTGCAGGCTCCGCGACCTGAATATGCCCATCCTGAGCCCGAAGTGGTCCATATCTAAGCGCCTTTGACTACATTCTTGACATATTCACGCGCCATTACGTGTCATATCCGTGGAAGGGAGGGCATGCACGGACGAGGATGGATGATCGAATGAGGTCACATCCACACCACTGCACGTGTGCGAACAAACCCTGGCTCAAGGAGCTGGCAACACACAATGGCTCACTCGAAGAGCGGCAATCCATCACACGATCAAGACACTCGACGGATGAAAATCCTCCGCGTGCTAGACGCCGGAGGTCTGAACCTCTCCGAGTGTTCGTCCTCTTCCTCCTCCCGATCCACCCCTCCTCCAGGGACCTCCAGGCATCCTCCAGAACCCTCCGGGTGCCTCCGAATACCGCCGAAAACGATCCAGCCCATCCGGATCCCTTCGGATATGCTTCTCCGCCTTCATTAGGCAGGCCGTGAGAGCGAGCGCTCGACACGTCAATGGTTCTCTTCTTCTTCCTCCTCCTCCTCCTCCTCCTCCTCCTCCTCCTCCTCCTCCTCCTCCTCATCCTCCTCCTCCAGCGCTGCGGTGCCAGGCGATGGCGCAAATGATCGCTGCGCGCGCGCGCCAGTTCCTCCACAGCCTCTCTTCCCTCCCTGCCTCTCCATCTTGTCCTGCCCGTGCCGCCCAACGTCGGTCTTGACCCTGGCCACGGCAGGTTCGTGTCGTGACGGCCACGGCGCTGATTAATCACACCGCGTGGACCTTTCGACCTTGAACGAAGGGCGGCACTGCGATCGCCCGATTCTGCCACACTGTCCGATTCCGGGCCACTGGCGGCGCTCAACCTCGAACGCCTGCGGCGGAGTCGCCGCCGCGTCGGCGCGACACGAACCTACCGCACCGCTGGTCCTCCTCACGGCCTCGGATGTTGCCAAAAGTGCCCCTGGCCCAAGGCACCCACAGGACTTCCAAAGAGGCTCCCACGGCCTCCAGAGTACCCCTCACGAGGCTCCTGGGGTCCCAGGGGCTCGGGGCCTTGGGCCAGGGACACCTTGCGCAACCCCCGACCTGGCGCGGCGGGGCGCTCCAAAGACGCGCCGCGGGTGCGGGCGGGCCCCCTCCTGCTCCGGGAAGTCGGAGGCCTTCGACCAGATCTGGCGGGCCCGCGGAGAAGGAGGAGGAGGAGGGAGGAGGGAGGAGGGAGGAGG